ATCTGGTAGCTCACAACTGCTTGTGATGCCAGCTCCAGAAAATCCAGCATCCTCTTCTGGCCTCTGTGAATATCTGTATTCACATGTGCATTACTCCCCAGAGCCCCCCCACATACATACATTTAAAAAAGGCAAAACAGAGTAATTCTTTGCTATTTAGTTAACAGAATTTGTGATGGAGGTATTGGTTAGTAGTGAGAAGATGTATGTAAATTTCTTGTTTATTAAAAGTGAGACTTGGGTCAGGGACAATATTCAGGAGTCTCTTGACTTTTATGTTAACACATTCAGAAGCTTTTGTCCAGTCTGATTTTAAAATTGCTATAACGACAGCATAATTTAACAAATAATTATGTTTGCATGTTTAGAAGCCACAGGAAGGTGAGCAAATACCACCTTATAAGAAGTTATCTGCATCAACAAATTATAGTTACGAACACAGGATGATGAGAAAGATTTGGGTTCAAACTGGATTGGGTAATCTCTGCTGAATCCTAATGCTCCAGGAACCTCAGTTTCTTTATCTATCAAATGGGGGTGATATGTGCATTCTCTGTCATGAGAAAAACTTGTGAAACTATGAGAAACATGCTAAAATCTAGGTAGAAAAACAGCTAGCACTGGCAGATGGCAGGTCCTCAGTAAACTTTTTCCAATATGAATTTATTGAATGTTAACATTGAAAACCATTTAATGAGCTACTTCTCTGGCTATTCAGAACAAAGAGAAATGGAGTAGTGACTAAGCTGATCAAATGGAAGCCCAAAGTTTATTTATCAGAACAATTGATAATATCAGGGCAAGAAGTGGCCTGATTGTGTTGTCAGTATTTATGTTGATTGATTTTTACATCTATCATGGAATTTCAGCCAAAAGTCAATCAGGCAATCCAAAAGGAAGAAAACACAATACTCAAATTATTTCATTTTTACAAAATGACATATTTTATGTTTGAGTCACAATACCAGGCTTTAAGAAGGTCCTGTGACTTCTGACTTCTGACTCACCACCTCCCTTTATTTTCCACCTAATCAACCCCAGGGTATGGAAGATTGTTTATAGTCATTGACTTAAATTTATACTCATCTTGCTTTTTTTTCTACTTCTGCAAATTAAATGCCAATATAAAGCAGCCAAATTTAGCAACTTAGGTTAGAATCCCTTAGTTGATTCACTTGGAAAGCCCTTTATAACCTAGTTTCCTCTTTATTTCATTAATCTCTCTCCTCTGTTTCAATTTTACCTCTTAATTAGTGCCCTCTTTTACTCATCTCTTCCTCTGATAAGCCCTCTTTGGACTCCAAAGATTTCTTCAACTTATTAGTTAGACCTTTCATATACATTTTCTTGAAATCTTTAAATTTTATATAATTGTAGTAGGCTTCATCATAATAATAAATTATTTTTAAAAAATCAAGAAGTGAAGTGATGACAACCTTGACCTGAGTACATATTCATGGGAGGAGAAAAAGCATACATAAACTACAAAATTTATACTACATACTCTTATGATATATCCATTCATGTGCTTTTGTATTTATTTAAACTTGTAGGATATTAAAGTTACTATATATATATATATATTTATATATATATAAATACATATATACATATATAGAGAGATAAATAAAATTGAAGAAAATAGAAGCTTAATATGAAACTTAAGATAGGAGAAAAGCTGTGACTTAACCATGATTAAATTTATCCTGAGTACAGTAAGTGAATGGATTAGTAAGTTCCTCGCTTCAACAGACTTTTAAGTCTCATTCTTACAGGTTCCAGTCAACAGAAGTTTCTACTTTCATTTCACAAATTATGCTTCCTCTTCTGTATTTTTATTTTCACCTATTGTTATTCTTTGTGTTCTTCTTCAGTCTCCCTTGGGTTATTCCTACTCCTCTCCTTCCTTCAGTATTTCTCACTCTGGGGGAAGAAGATGCCAGCCAAAATGTGAGCAGAAAGTGGCCCCAACTGTGTCCAGACAGAAAAAGTGTGCTGACAAACATTGTTGGACAAACAATGTCAGACACATTCAGGTTTCTACAATGAGCCCCATCAAGACACTAAAACTTGACAGGTGTGGTGGTGCATGGCTTTAATCCCAGCAAAGAAGGACCTCCATGAGTTCAAGGCTAACCTGATCTACCTAGCAAGTTCCAGGCCAGCTAGGGCCACATATCAACCAACCAACCAACCAACCAACCAACCAACCAACCAACCAACCAAAAAGCCAGCCAGCCATCCAGGCACCAAAGCCCCAGATATAACAAAAGGACAAACAACAAACAGCTGAACAAACAAAAGATGACAAATACCTAACTATTGCTGCTATGGCTGTTTCACTCACAGAGAACATCTGAAAGGACAGATGAGACTTCCCAATGTGAGCAAAGGCAAGACTCATCTCTAAATGGTGTCTAGAACTTCTTACAAATAGACATCCAAGAGATAAATTAGAAGTCTTAAATCCCCCAGAGAACTTGCTTTCTAGTCATAAACTGAGGTTGTTTTAAGCCACCAAATATATAGATAACATATTAAAATGAAGAAATTATTAATCCATACTGGCCATTGGTGTTTTATTCGATATGAGGAAAAGAGTCAGATGGCTACTCTCCTTTTTTCTCTTTAATGTTCGTTCCAGTATTCAGACAACAGGGGTATATTACTTCCAGACTTGCAAGTGATCACATATAAAAGCTTGAGCTATGAAAGGGCATGAGACCACACAAGCTCTAAAACACTTTCTGAGTGGTTTGGAGTCTAACCCTGCATGGATGGATGTCACACATTTCTTTCTTTTGATTTCCACCAAGGAGGAGTTTATATTTCACTTCAGTGAGTGTAATAGGACTCTGCTTCCTCTCCTCTGGGGAGCTACACAATTCTTCAGGAAACATGATAAAAATGAAATGTGGTTTACTGGCATGTGTTTTTAAGATACAAGTAAAAATGCTATGGTTGGATGCCCTTGGTAATCTTGATTATTTTTGTCACAGTGGGCATTAACAATTTTCTGCATAACTTAAAGAGAACAAAGATGAGTGTAGAATAAGTTTTAGTGTGCCCTTGGTTCTTTTATCTGCAGAAGGAGATGGCAACAGAATAATAACCATATAATTTTCCACAATGTGTTATTGATTAGCACTTTCAGAGACATCATATTTCTAGCAAAGCAAGATCCTGAGTGTTGTTGTCTGCAACAAAGCTTTTATGCACAGCACGACTGCCAGTTTCATCTTAGTACGTCTTGATTCTTACAATGAGACTTTTCCTCCCTTTTAGTAAGATTGGGCTGTGATGTTTATTATGATTGCTCTATCTGTGATTTAATTATTAAATTGTCCCATAGAAGTAAATGAATTGATCAGAAGAACAAGAGGCTATATATGGCATATTCTTCCTTATTACAGCTAAATATAGAAATGGTTAATTTTATAACATGCAATTCAGCATCAATTATTAACTCAGTGATTCATGGTGATCATTTAAAAAGTTAAACTGAAGACTGTGGAAGCTGTAGGGGAAGGGATTTTGGTATCCTCGTGATCATTTAAAAAGTTAAACTGAAGACTGTGGAAGCTGTAGGGGAAGGTATTTTGGTATCAGAAAGAAAAAGCCACATCTTCTTTGAAGCTTTACTATCTAGTATGTAAAAGTTTTAAATATGTAGGAAACCCTCTTCCTAATATAATTATATGTATGCATATATATAAATAATGTGGGTGTGTGTTCTAGACACTAAAAGAAAAATCATTGAAAACTCCCTTCTTTCTCCTTAGTCTAAAATATGGTTGCTAAACCTCAACTTCTACCTTGAAATTTTGGCCCTCATTTGACATTATTATCTGCTCATGTTTCATACTAGGGATCACTTAAAAGGAGAAAAAAAATCTGGCATCACTGTATTTTATAGGAAATGGAATTTGATTTCTCAAACTGGGTGATTGTTCTCTGCAATATTGGATTAGGCAGGAAGTTAATCCAATTTTATTAAAACAATGGATGGAAATACCAACTACATTATTTTTGACATTGTTATGGATTCTTTAAGACCACAGATAAAATCAAAACGGTCCATAACTTTGTTCAAATACCAGAAACACTAATACCATTTTAAACATTCAAACAAAAATTCTAATTTTTCATTGATGTATGTCCAGACCTTGCACACAGTGCCAAGAACCCAGTGGGAATTCAATAAATACTTTGTGAAATAAACCTCTGTGTAAACATTGTGTGAGGTTCTCTCTATCTGAGAATATTGTTTTCTATGCAGATTAAGGAATGAATTCATAAATAATTTTTGAATTTTTGAGTGATTGAGAGAGCTATGAAAATTAAAAGCAAGATTCTTGGTTCAGGGAAGGAAAACAGGGAAGCAGCCATTCCCAGCTGGGAACTAGGCCAGGGACATCTCATATCAAAACTTTCATTCATCAGTCTCTTTACCAGATCACAGCAGAAGATACTGACTGTCATTTTAGTGAAGTCTGTATGTAAAGGTAGGGGCCCCAGATGCCTCCATTGTACAAATGTCTAGATTTCCTGGCTCAGCTCACTGTAACACCTTCTTTCATTTTCTGATTTTCATAAATGCGGTCATCTTTTCCCCAGTGTTAGTGTGGGGAATACACTAAACAAAATAGAAAAACAACAAACAAACAAACAAACTAAAACATCTGCCCCGCTTTCTATCGTGTATGAAACTTTCGGGTTCTGTTCAAGTGGATGCATTTGCCATTCCATTCTTTGGAGGTGGTTGTTAGATTTGCTCCAGACTCCGGAGGATACTGAGTCATTACTGTTGAGACACACTGGATAACCGCATAGGGTTTCTTCATTTCAGACTTAGAGGCTAACTCTGTTTCTCTGAGAAGAAAAAGGTTCTCTGCTGACTCACTTAAGCAGCCACCAACAGAAATCCCAACGTTATGCTCCCGACCTCACGGCATCACCCCGACCACCCTCACCGATCCCGATGGATTTGATTCTCTTACCGGAATGGCAACTGGCTGAATGTTGTGAGGCATCCGACTTCCATTTGTATTCTTCTTGTTATTCCCTCACCATCGCAAGTTGCACTAATAAAGGCTGTGAGCTGAGCTGAAGCCTCGTTTAGTCACCTGGAGCTAACCCGCTGCTACTATTTCTAGAGACACCGCCGATCCCTGGTCTACAGCATCAGCCTGTGCTTTCCCTGGAGACCCTCCAGGTGCTCACTGTTTAAGTTTACTAGCATTGAAATTCATGTTTTTTTTTCTTTCCCCATGGTAGTTAGTGAAACTGTAAAATGAGAATTTTATGAACTGTGGACACTGTGTTGCAAGAGAAAAACGTTTCCTTTTTTTCCTTTAAAAGAAAATAGTATGTTTACAAGATCTTTTCAGAAAAAAAATAAGTTCTCTTAAAAGTGATGCCATGTTCATGAATAATTTTCCCACTGGATAACAGGGGTCTCACAGACATCTAATTTTAACTCTCTATGACTTAGGAAACATTGATATTCACTTATGTATTGAAGAGGAAATTAAAATGACTGATAACAAACCCAATTAATGAGTTGGATATTCAACTATATTCTGGTCTGACTCAAAAACTAATTTGTTTCCTACCATACCACTTAGGTTTAATACATGATTCAAAATAAATAATTGTTATAATTATTACTATTAACAAAGTATTTAGTTTGAAAATAAGATACTATAAAGGCAAGGAAAACATTTTCTTTGTCTATATGTGCTAATGTCATTCTCATAGGGTAAAGAATATTTAAACACTTTGAGAATCCCACTATCTATGCCATAACTCTAGTAAGACTTTGATTAAACTTGTTTATACATTGCTGGTAGTAAGATAAATTAATTTTTTAAGAGCACCAAAGCACTCCCAATAGTATTAAGATATTCATGACCTTTGACCCAATAATTCTCCACCTGAAAATGTATCTTATTGAAATGAGTTCAGTGAATAAGTACTAAGATTTTATTGTCTAAATTTTATTTAAAAAAATCAGAGGAAATCTTAAGGAGCATCAATAGCCAAAGCATAAATAAATTTGGATATGCCAATGGAAGGTAATTATTGGGTAATTTTCTCTCTTCTATCATTAATCTGCCACTAGAAACTAGATCTTTCTGGAGTGGATCAAATGTCCTGATAGTCTTCATACTAAAACAAAGCCTTTGGTCTCAGTGGCATACACCCATAACCTCTGTGCGCAGGATGCAGAGGCAGGAGGATCTGTGATTGAAATGAAAGACAAAAACACATAGTGAGCTGTAGGCCAGCCTGGGCTACAGTGTGGAGACTGATTGCAAAACATAAACAAAAACCCCATCTAAAGCTACACAAACCAAAAGGTTTTCTCATCCAGCTACCCTTCCTTATGTTATCCCTTTATAAGATAAATCGTTGCATCATTAATTGTTTTTCATTTCTTTTCCTGTCTGCCAGATTCCTAAGCTGGGGACATGATTCTGGAGTTTCCAACAAGTCAGGTTCAGCCATTTACCCCAAGGAAAGCCAGAAAAAGTAATATGAAAATGGCAGGGAGGGATTTTAATCAAAATGGCCACTTTGTGAAAATACAAATTAAGTATCCTGGTTTATCTGTGAGGTACTGACATAAGATTTAGGTTTGAACAGAAGGGAGCTTGGGGCAGTGGGGTGGAAGGATTTCATAATAATAAGCAGCCTTGGTTAGGCTGTGGCCTGGTTGTTCTTATTCTCCGTTTCAGCTTTGCAAGCTAGCCTTGGGGGCCAGTGCAGTTTTACTGATATGATTGCATCTGCCTGGGAGATAGTTTCATGGGGTGACCTGTCTGTCAGGCTCTGCTGGAGTCCAAAGTGCAGGCTCAGGCCAATGACTACAGACTTCCAGACACCCTTATCCAGGTCAGGAACATGACCTCTTAAAAGCTGAGATTAAGACCTCTTTGTGCCTTTAGGATTAAGTGAAATGAGATAATCTGCTGGATGGCTCTCTCTCTCTGAATGATTAGCATGCCATGTCCAGAACTGAGCAGGCTACTACTGCACAGGAAAGGTGACAGGCACAAACTAAGGGGAGAGAGGTAGACTTTTATCATGTGTTTTTAAACTTTTTACCATGTCCCTGAAGGTGAGGCCCAAATGAGGACTCTGTCTTGGAGCAGTTTCTGAGAACTGGTTATGACTCTGACTGCCAGGAAATCAAATGTGAGTTGCTACCTCCAGTGTTTGGTCCTCAATCCTCATCCTATTGACCCAGCATCAGCATCAGCATCAGCATCAGCATCAGCATCAGCATCAGCATCAGCATCAGCATCAGCATCAGCATCAGCATCAGCATCAGCATCAGCATCAGCATCAGCATCAGCATCAGCATCAGCATCAGCATCAGCATCAGCATCAGCATCAGCATCAGCATCAGCATCAGCATCAGCATCAGCATCAGCATCAGCATCAGCATCAGCATCAGCATCAGCATCAGCATCAGCATCAGCATCAGCATCAGCATCAGCAGCAGCAGCAGCAGCAGCAGCAGCAGCAGCAGCAGCAGCATTCTACCTCACAGATGATTCTCTCATTCCCTTGATGATCTTTCCTTACTAGGCTCCAAGACCTGACACTCTTTCTACTTTGCTTTTCTTTTGACACTTTTTACGTCTTTTTTTATTTCCTCTTTTCACCTTCCCAGCTCTCACATGTTTAAGAGGCCTGTGCTCAGTCCTCAGCCTTTCTTTTTCTCCAAACCACAGTCTCAAACTAACTAGAACTTCCCTAAAAACTCAAGGCTTACCCACCCCAGTGGAGGACCGACATATCCATTTAGATGTCAAGCTTAATCTTCGACTCCTGCACTACCTACTTTCACGCAGATTGGCTCCTTCCACTTTTCTTCATTTTAACTGGCACCTTGAGTCTTCCAGTGCTCAAGTAAAAAAACAATCCCAAAATAACACGAAAACACAGTATCATTCTTTCTTTTTCTTATGTCCTACTATTGGTAGCTGAAGTCTGTCCTGCCTGTGAACAACAGTCACAGCAAAATCACTTCTAACAACCCTTACCACTACTACCCCAATTCCATCATTATGGATCTCTAATTGGTCTCTCTGCTTCCAGCATCCTTTTGCCTCTGCACAAAGCCAGAGTGACTTTTTTTTTTAAATCACAAATTAGATCATGTCAGCGCTATCTTAAAACTCTCTGGGGGCATCCCAACTTATTCAGAGCAAAATTAGAATCTAACATGGCCTTATTTGGGCCCTGTCTTAGTAGCTCCTTGCCTCCATCTTTGCTATTTCCCCTGAATTTCCAGTACGTATATTGTGTAGTATGAGAGCATTCATGTGTGT